ATAGATGTTCTTCACATAAAATCTGATATACTGTGTATAAATATCAATACACAATGTCAAAAGGTTTAAAACCATCTAATGCTTAATTGCTGAAAATTACCTAAGTGTCGATACCCTTACATTGTGTCAGATTTGCACAATAACTTCTAACTGGTTATGTGTCGACACCTTCACAAATTGTGAAAGAAACAAGTCCATGTCGGACTTTTGGATCATTATGTAATTTCTAAGAATGGTAAAATAATAACATTGGTCCCTCAACTTCCATTTACATTTCCTTTGAACTTAGTTGAACTCCTTAACAAATTGGGATACCCAATCCTTTTCTTCACTTTCCATTAGGATTCCAAATCCTAAACCATTTTTTTTTTATTAATGCGAATAAAGTATTAAATAACAAAAGAATATCATAACATAAACTTATAAATCCAAAAGGATTCAACTAAATTCACCTCCATATCACATAATTATTCATAGAGATTATTTTAAATGTGAGAAAGAGAAAAGGATTAAATAGTGATTAATCTTAAATTTAATATCTAAACATTAATTTGTAACCTTATTAGACCATTAGGGACATATTTGCACTAAACAGAATTACCAAGGCATCAAATAATAGTTTTCTCATTAATCATCTCCAATAACCATCAAATATGTTTCACAACATAAAACTAGATTTTGATAGAATCAACAACTGCCCAATTTATACCACCAAACTAGTGAACCATTCCTTAGTCTCCACAAATCTTTTTCAATTGATCTCAATTGATATTACTAAAACTTTAATAATCACAACTATTATGTGATTACCCACAAATTGAGATTTCTCTAAAATTATAATAATAATTTTAACTCAATTCGTCATCACAATAATTACTTTCTGCATATGCACAGCATACCACAACTCCAAATCTATATGGATTTAATCCAAATTTGCTCTCTAATATAGCCCAACAATTTGATACTAAGTATGAATAAATATACCAATTTTGAAATCAAAGATTTCAAGTTAACTCAACAACGGTTACTTTAAGAATCACTTACAAGTTAATCTTCTTAAATCTTAAATCTACATATAACCTGCTCTGATACCACATGTTGGAATTTAAAGAGATCAAAATACGTAGAATTTAGGATATTAAGATCTAATAAAATAAATACATTACATACCTGAATCTCCATAATCAATATATTACTTAAAGATTTTCAAGGATCTTTAAAAATCATCATAATTAAAAATCTCATGACAAAACCTATAAAAAAAATATATAGTTAGTATTGGGATTTAGGTCGTGCTCTCTCTAATCAACTTCTGTATAGTGACAATCAATGGGTCATGTTACTTCCTAACTCTTTTATTTATAGAGATATGTTTTTCTAAATAGAAAAGGGTCTAACCCATTATAATAATCTTTTCACACCCCCATTAAGTAGCCTAGCTTTAATTTTAAGTTTTACAGCTATTCATATCATACCATATAAAAACTGAGATAAAATCTAAACTCACTTGTACAGTTGAATCACATTATTTTATTATGTTTTACAGATTTTTTTCATTTGATCCAATTTTTAAAAACCAAATACAATTAATAGCAGCACACATAAAAATTCCCAACAGGAGGGACTAAATTGGTACCAAATTGGGGTTTTAACCAAAACAAAATGGTGAAAATTGAAAACGGAAGAACAGAGCTTCCCCGCTCCCGCTTCCATCCCTCTCTTTCGTCTTCTAAGGATTTGATTATTTAGGGCTAGCAAGAGCGAAGAAAACATGCTGGGTTTCACAAGGCGTAGAGTACGATTTCACATCTCTTTTAGTTTTATACAATTGATGAATTCATCAAATCATCTTTCAAAAACAGAGTGCAAAAAATTTGTTCTCCGCAAGTTTAATTTGCAATCATTTTTGGTTGTGCAGATCTTGGGAAACTCCCTACAGAAATTGCTTCCGGATGCCCCGGATTTGCTGAGAAGCTACACCTCCACTGCACAAGAGGTAGTTTTAGCCTTTCCTTCAGCATTTCATAGGTTATGTCATTCTTAACCCATTACCTGTTCGACTAAATTTCCCAAACACAAACTCTTTTTCTACCTTCATTTGCTTTATACTTTGTTTTTTTGTGTTGATTTGTCGGTTTTCTCTTGCTTCAACTGATTCATAACTGAATTCAAGGATCAATATAATAGCCGTGTTACGAATCAATCTCCGAAACTGGACATTGGGGATGTACGGAAGCATCCAATTGGGACGAATGTTCCAAGGAAGGATAAGATCAAATTTCTTGTTACCACAGTAAGTATATACAAAGAGTAATACTTCTCTCTTTGTTTCTCTTTTCGGGATGTCATGACATTTAAAATAAGGATTGTCTTTGAAATTGTTCAAATGCCCTTAGTGATGTATCTTTCTTGCCTGTTGATTCATTAATTGTCAGGATATCCTGATTTTCCGCAATGCTTTTTCTTTTTCATCTAATGGTATCTTAATTTTAGTTCTGTATTATGTTCAAATTGTTAGTTAGATAACACACCCCTTACAAGCCAAGCCTACTTAGGTAACTTGTTAAATGACCTGATTATGTGCAGCTTCTTGATCTTAAGGATAGCAAAGAAGCTGTCTATAGCACACTTGATGCTTGGGTTGCTTGGGAGCAGAACTTTCCTATTGCTTCACTGAGGAAGGCAATTACTGATATTGAGAAGCAGCAGCAGTGGCATAGAGTTATTCAGGTATCACCAGTTTTGAATCCCTATACGTGCTCTTCTCCGTATATAAATTTAATTTCTTTCTCCATTCTACAAAACTCTGTGTATCCTTGATCTCCGAGCCTTTCCATGTAATTTTTTCATTATTGGATGAGAGTTTATGGATTAATGACTTGCTGTTATTCAGTTTAAGTAAATCCTTTGAATCAGTGAGCTAATTTACTTTTCAACAGTAAATTTCATTTGATCTGTTCTATCAAATTTGTGTAATCTTTTATCCTAATCTACATCATGGAATTTATATTATTCAACAACCTAAAAATGTTTTCCTAAAAAAGTTTTCTTTACCACATCAAAGTTTTTGGATGTTAGATCAAGATAATGTTGTAAACTTACTCTTCAAGGTTTAAATATCAGACATTGGTTTATAACTTTTAAAGTTTTAATTGCTTCTAGGTGATTAAGTGGATGCTGAGCAGAGGGCAGGGAAACACGATGGGGACCTATGAGCAGTTAATCCGTGCTTTAGATATGGACAACAGAGCCAATGAAGCACATGAATTTTGGAAGAATAAAATTGGTTCAGATCTCCATTCAGTGCCTTGGAGTTTATGCAAGCTTATGATCTCTGTGTATTATCGAAATAACATGCTGGAGGATCTCATAAAGGTATGCATTTTCTTGAAATCTAAATTCTGTGCTTTTCTGAAAGTGCTAACATGGTTGACCATCGAGCAGAAAGTAAGAACATCTAAAAAGTTTGTCACCCTTACTGATTAGCTGATTATGTCTTTGTTCATCCCGGTTTGAATTTTATGTCTTCCTCTCTATATTATATAACATTTGTTTAAAGCTAATCCATACGGTGTGTTTGGTAGACAATGAATTAGAATTTATTTCATTTCAAAATGAATTCTTAAATTCATGTTTTAAATTTTTGTGTGTCTGGTTTAAATGAAATTAGAATTTATTTCATTTACTAAAATGAATTCTATGAATTCTATGAATTCATTCATAAATGATTCCTATGTCTCCTATAATTTATGAAAATCTAGTAATTCAATAATTTGAATTGAACTGAATGCCATAGTATTCAATGTAGAATTGAATTAAATATATCATTTTTCAAAAATTCCCCTCAAATATATTAACCTACGTTAAAACCTAATGAACTCTATCACGACTCAATCTTTAATTTCTCCTCCAGTGCACTGAAAGAGCAAAAAACAGCATTTGCAAGCTATGTTACAAGAAGAATGAAAATGCAATATAATCAGCATAGCACAAGAAGACTCTGGACAAGATATATATGCTGAATTCCCAACAGCACACCATGCCTACAATGTCTAGAAACAAAAGTAAAACAGAAAGGAAAGAAAAATTTCAATCTCATATTTAAAAAGTCTAAATAGAAATCTGAAGTTGACTTTTTGTCCAAAAATCTAATGAGAAATATAAAGCTAAATTGAATATCAACTTCTGGCTTTTTGAGTATGCTCAGCTTGCTCCGTTTTCTTCGTTGACATGCTTCATCTTTTTTAATCATCCAGCTTTACATCACTGTCATAAGCCAAAAAAAAACATCTCACTCAGATTCTCATTGTCTTTAACGAAGTCAAGTGCCTCTACAAGCTCCCATTTAACCCTTCAATTCCATTTGAGTCTTCATATGGTTCATTAGGTTTTAACAAGTTAATACAATTAAGGGGTATTTTTGGAAAAGGATATATTTAATTCAAAACTACATTTTATACCAGACATGGGTGTTTCTGGAATTCAATTGAATTCTAGATTTTCATAAACTCTACCATACATAGGAATTCATTTAGTAAATGAAATGAATTCTATTTTCATTTCCAAATTTTTTTTTTAAAGAATTCCTTTGGAAATGAAATGAATTCTAATTCATTTTTATACCAAATGCACAGTTAATCTTCACCATTCATTGAGAAAGGCTGAGATTATGTCATGTACTTGAGTGCTTAGTATTACAATTAAACTTAATCAGCAAACTGACCAATTGGATCCCTATCCAATCTGTGCAGGCATCAGACAAATAAGCACCTAATATATTAAATGGCAAAGCCAGTTGAATTAACTTCACTTAAATGGAGATAGAGATAGTGCTTAAGACCAACATGAGTATCCACTGAAGAAGGAATAACCATCATTGTTAGCTTATTTTTATAGTTGCAGCTAGCAGATAGGTACTTTTCGTAGTCTATTGGACTGACTTTTCTCGTACTCTTATTTGTAAAGCTTTTCAGGGGCTTAGAAGCCTTTGACCGTAAGCCTCCAGAGAAATCAATAGTGCAGAAAGTGGCAAATGCATATGAGTTGTTAGGCTTTCTTGACGAGAAAGAGAGGGTACTGGAGAAGTACAAAGATCTTTTTACAGTAACAGAAAAAGATCATATGAAATCTAAGAGGAGCTCTTCAAAGAAAAAGAAGAATGAAGGTATGAGACTCTGTCTGTGCCTTTAATCATCTATACTCCTTTGAGGAATGAGGAAGTTATACCTTACCCAGATAATTGTCTCCTTTTATGGCTTCTGTATTGCTGAGCATCAGTAGCTATCATCTTGAATTTTAAAGTTCAGTTTTACATCTCTATTTCTGTAATCTAATGTTTTGGAGACAAAAGTACATTTGCATATCTTTTGATCCCTGTGTTTTTGGCTGTCTTCAAGGCATGGGAAAGAGTTGACTTCCAGTGATATAATTGATGCAGTGAATAGTTTGGAAACAAGTCAAGGATGTTGATGAATGAAAAGATTTTCTACTTTTGTTACCATCTTCAAATCTGTAATACCCACATGTTTCTCATGGGCTTCATTAGTCGCTGTGTCATTATTATCACCTCTAGTAATTTCTTGGCCCCAGAATGTACATCATTTTTTTTGTACACCTTTTTCATGCCTGGAAATGCAAGATCTTAAGAAGGCTAAAAGCATGGCATGAGACAAGCAGTAAGGTAATTAGAGATCGGCTAGTTATCTGAGCATTGACAATACTTGACAATGGCATGCCCTCCTATTTTTGATGCAAAACCTGAACATTGTAAATTATACATCGATGAACTTTTTCTCTTGTATACTTTCTGGATTTGAAGCCATAAATTATTAAGTATCAATGATGGGTCAGCCTTTCTTTTAGTTAATTTCCCTCAATACGATTTGTGTGGCCTTGTGTGACAAACCTATGGTTGGTAGTTGGTGCTACATTTCGAACTTATTCAAATTGTTTCCTATGATTTTTGTTAGTTTGAGGGTTTAAGTCTTAATTAGTATAGCAACATGATTTAGCGTTTGCTCAGGTGATGTGTAATTTGAATTAGGGTTTGCTCACCATAGGTGTTGATCACCAAGCAGTCTTTCCTCCAAAGGTGTGAGCCAATGCAATGGTTGGTTTTAAAGCTTTACTTTTAATCTAAACAAGACCACATGTCATGTGATTGTGTGACTTAGTTAATATAATCAACATAATAACATATTGTAACTATGGGTGCGTTTGAAATTGTT